TACGTAAAGCAAGTAATCATGCGCAAATGTCTCAAACAAACACAATATATAACCAAATAAAGCAAATAAGAGGCGGGAAAGTAATGAACCCGAGCCGTGTCGAGCAAAATTAAGCATAGCTTGTTAATTTATTGAGCCCCGAAATAGGACCCATGAGCTATAAATGGAAACTTGATATTAAATCTATATTTAGAAAATGAAAGTGAATATGCGAATATAAAGCGCTAAAAATATTTACTAATTAAATTACATTCCTAATGAACTATTTAATGTGGAAATAAGTTTTTTTTTATCAGATGGAACTAAGCTAATTAATACAATCCAAAGTGTAATGCAATATAAAGAGAACGAATTTATCTGTTAACATGAATATTTCCTTAAAGTTATGTTTGGTAGTCAGGATAAAAGTTAAGATATATTTTATCACATCCCATCATATGCATGGTTGATGTCCAAGACAAGATAAAGCCGATATGAGAGGGATATAATTAAGATTAAAAAGCTTTAAGTGGGGAGCGGGATAAGGAAAGATATGATTTCTTATATTTATAATATAAAAATTAATTTTTTGAAAAACCCTCTCCTCTCCTTCTCTTTCTCCTTCGTAGCTCTGGTTCACATGGAAGCTTTCCAGCTCCTTCATAACTTTTTGGTTCATATAGAAGCTTCATGAAAGCAGGAAGAGAGTCGAAGCATTGTACATTTTAGAATCGCAATAGTGAATGATCATCTTCTCTCTCTTACTAGATCTACATTCTCTGGTTCATATAGCCCGTTTACATTTCTTGTCATCGATCATGTGGTTTTGGAATGTTGCAATGAGCTCCTTTATTGTTTAAGGTTTTTTTTTTGGTAAGGAAAAGTTCGTTTATTGTTTAAGGTTTAGGTGTACAATAATCAAGAATTAATTGTTGGAAGTTGTCTCCGTTTGTGCATTTCCGGTTTGTATAACGGTGAGTCGTGAGAGATTCTTACAATTTCCATTTGTTCATTTTTGGGTTCTTTAGTAGTGAATGGTGAGAAAAAAATCAACAATACTTTTTGTTTGTGCATTTCCAACAACAACCATGGATTGATTCAGTAAGATATTTACCATTTTAATTCTAGGATTTCAGATGATTTTGCTATTATTTTACGTGGCAGTTTGTATATAATGTCTCTATTTTTTTCCTCGTCAGATACGGATCACAATAAAGGGAGAACAATATTTTCTTCATAGGCAGCATATAAGGTTATATTTGTCATTCACATTGATATGCAGTTTCTTAGAATATGAAAATATCCGATTTTATTACTACAATTAATCAAACAATAGATATGATATAGCAAAATTCTCGTATTTCATATCTCAATCCTATCCAGCCCTATCTTGGCTAGAAATTCAAATGACCAAACACATGCATTCTTGAACATTTTCTTTTCAACTTTTTTATGAGGGTGCAACGCAAATATCCTAAATATGCACAAAAACATTTATTCATGGAAACTCTAATTTTCTAATATAGCATTATCATGATGCAAATAAAAACATGAGATTCTATCTTAATATGCATAATATGCAAATGTGAACACTGTGTGCAATGATCGCTTCGATACAATTTAGATGCAATTCTAATCTAATTTTTTTTTCGTCTTTTCTTTATTTTTTTATTTTTATTTTATTTCTTAATAAACCAATTAAAACCCAAAAATCGACCATATGCTGAAGTAGTCATGAAATATAACTTGTATGCATAAATCAACCTATATGCTGAATTAACATATAATAAAACGATGGATTTCAAGAAAACTAGCACAAGGGATCAACCTACTTCCTCTTGGATTTTCAACCTTAAAATTTCCTGCGAGAACAGAGTTAATTTCAAACCTGAAAATAATGAAAACAAAGCAACATAATATTGGAAACTGAAGTAAAATTGATCTGAACATGAAATCAACATGTGAATCACACGAACGCTATGTGAAATCAACATGGCGGAATTATGACATGCTTCTATACTAATTGGAACTTATGAATGCCCAAAATAACTACCTATTAAAGGCCAAATTTTTGTTTTCCCCCACACCAGTTGAGACCGATAAGTGATGTGGTTTAGTGATATGAACTCCTTCATGCCGAGAATACTAACAAAACCGAACCTAATACTTGTATGCGTCAAAAGACGATGCAAATCAAGTGAACAAAGAGGGGAAATCCATGGGGATTAAGTTAGCACAAAACCATATATTCATGTGTGAAGAACAATGCATAATCATAAACTAACCTTTGAAGTCTTTCGACTTGACCCCTAGATCATAAGGCTAATGATGTCAGGATCAGATGACCCATATCCAAAGAAGATACTTTATGATAAGGATGTCAGATTTGGATGAATCGGATATTGATTGAAAGCTCTTGACGAATATTATCTAATTGCATCCTCTGATTGGGTTTTTTATGCAAGTCAATTGAGAAATCTTTAATAAAAAGTGAAGTGCCAACATACGGTTTGTTTCATTTTCTTATCAAATAACTATTTCGATTTATATGAATATTCGACAGCATTATTTGCTCATAGTGATTGATGCGAGCTCTATTCTATGATGATTAAAAAATCTGTTTTAATTTGTTTACTAATTGCTAATCCTTTTGTATTGATTTCGATGAACAGGCAATTCTGTTTATCTTGTAGGTTAGTTCGTTTTTCATTGGGAAGCATTCTTTAATATATTGTAATAAAGTTTCGAGAAACGTGCTTGAATTATATTTGAGAGGCTACTAAGCTCAGGAAATATACAAAGATGATCATATGTCCTTAAGGTTGGTGCACTTGGTTGACGAGTTGGAGAATTTCTGGCTCGGAAACTAGAGGTTACTTGTTTGAATTTCACAAACTGCGTGCAAATTGCTTTAGGTCAAATGTTTCGACTTAGCTAAATTATGAGGCTTGCAGAGTGTTTCATGAAACTACAAGTAGCCGAATCTCCATGTTCATGCCTTAAAATATAAAAGGGAAAAAGATGATCACGTAATTATTACCAACGTGTTACTGGATAATAACATATCACGTGGGTTATTGGTAATTTCTTTCTTTTGTTGTAAATATGATAAAGGGATAAATATCCTCTTATTGCTTGGAAAGTTCGCTCCTCTCTTCATGAAAATGAGATCTATTATTGCTCATAAGTATAATTATTTAGGTTCTTGTTGATTGTTAAAACTCTAAATGTAAAAATACATCTGTATGATTTTTCTTATCAATTTAATTGATGTTCGTTTTCATTGCTTCGATGGGTGTTATGTTCGCCCCTCTTCCTAAAGACTCATTTCGTTTCTTTATAAATTTAGATGATTTCTAAATCAGTGCAATTTGATGGATATGGAAGATAACTTTGATTCGTATTGTCAGTAGAAGATTGAACATTTTATGTCCTCTTTTTTGAGTGGTAATCATAACTCTAATTAGATCTTCAGTTCGAACCCAAAAATGATGGGAAATTTTTTTGATTCTTTATTCTGCAATTGAGCTTGTCTAAAGAACTAGAAATGCAAGGCATGACTAATAGAACTAAGTGAATTGGATTCGATTCAATGAACCCTTTTTTCGTATGAATATTCATATCAAGACTAGCCGATCTCTTGTAGGGGAGTAAACGAAATCAATGCGGTCACCAATAAGAACTTTCAATTCGAGGTCAATTAGTGATAACTCTCACTCTCGTGAACCGACCAATAGCAGTACTAACTTGACTTGGGGGAATCAGCCATTGAGACCCATTAAACAAGGAAAAATGAATCCACGACAAGACGACATGTCGCTATTTCTGTGACCTGGCGAGTACTTCAAATGAAACCTTTCCAGATCGCACCTTAAACGTAAGCAAGTCAGCATCCTAGGCGTAGGAGCCCGTGAAGTGAAAAGCAGATGGGGAAAGCAAGGAAAATGAGAGAGATGACACTGACAAGTGACAGCACATGACAGTCGATGTCGAGTCAACTTTCGGAGACTATTCCTCCCAAGAATCTACGCACGAAAATGAAAATAGTATGGGAAGAAGGATTTATACTAACATGTCGGAACAGTAATGATCATATGTGTATTTGGAGATAAATAAAATGATCAATATCACACAAAAAAAACTTCAAATAGATATATTTATAATAAATTTACTCAAATTAATTTTTTGACCGCCAAAATTCCCACACGAATACATTTGTGACAAATTTACCCTTCGTTAGTTTCTATTAAATTGGATTAATACAACAAAAATATACAAACCGGTATATCTGTAACAAACGAAGGTAAGATGCCAAACTACTACACTCATCAACTACCACGTGTCATCCAACTCAGTAATTTAACGGTAAAATTTAATAGCAATTAACGGCACGTAAATTTATTAAAGGTGTACTAGTTTGAGGTTTTTTATAATCAAAAAATTAATTTAAGGTAAATTTGTTATATGTGTATCAATTTTAGATTTTTCGTGATATTAACCCTAAATAAAATGTGACCACGTTTCTATATGGTGTCCATTGTGCAAAAGTTGGTATTCTCGCCCAACCACAAGAGCCATGGATCATATCGGATGAAAAAGGAACAAACTGGAGTACTTGACCATGAGATAAAATGTGCAGTTTTGAATCCCGCCCCAAAAAAAAAATTAATATGTCGACTAAAATGTCCAAAAATCCCTTTAAAAAACTAATCAATTTCATGTACATAGAGTAGATAACGAGCTAACGTCTATACACCATTATATAGAGTTTTACCCTGTCCATATTTAAATATATTTAGCTCTTTGTGGATATTTCGCATTAAATAAAGTCGAACTGCGAGAGCCGCGAGATTGGCCGATAAGAACCAATCGAAAGCAGAACTCGCCACCATAGTCTCTACTCCTTCAATTTTAAGGCAACTTTGAGCACGAGAGAAGCGTTAACGGAGGGGACGTGGGACCCTAATTTGAAGGCAACTTAGAAAATCTTGATCTACCAAACGATAACGTCTGCAAAAAGGCAGATAAGAATGGACACACAACAGCAAAAGCATTTCCGTGACTCGTGGAGGCGACTCCATATTACTTGGAGAAAGGGAAGAAGAAGAAGAAGACAGACGACGACGACGACGATGGCGGCTTCACGGCGCTCCTCTTTCCTCATCGAGATCCTGCTCTGCGTCTCTCTCCTTTGCCTTCTGTGCTCAACCGAGAAGGGCTGCATTGTCCATGGAGCTGAGGAGATCAGCCTCGCAGTCAGCTCTCTTTTCCCTTCTCTAGACTGCAAAGCTTCAACTTCCAACGGTCATCTCTCTCTCTCTCTCTCTCTCTAGATTCTTGCATGAATTCGCATGGAGTGTCGTTGAAAGCGCAAACTCAGATTGTCAAGTGGTGATGTGCAAAATTGTCATTTGTGAACTGAAAACCAGAGACTTCTAGTGCAATTTATTTATTTATTTCGTTGCTTAAATTAAGGTTTAATACCACAAAAAAAACCTCAAACCGATACTCCTTTGACAAATTTGCCCCAAACTACTCCAAACCGGTACACATGTGACAAATTTACCTTCCGTTAGTTTCCGTTAAATCTTACAATCAAATTACGGAGTTTGATGACACGTGACAGTTGACGAGCGCACCAGTTTAGAGTTTTACCCTTCTATTTGTCACAAGTTTACCAGTTTGTGATTTTTCGTGCTATTAATCTAATTTAGCGAAGGGTAAATTTGTCGCAGATGTATCAGTTTAAGGTTTTTTACGGTCAAAAAATTAATTTTTGGTAAATTTGTCACAGGTGTACCAGTTTGTGATTTTTTGTGGTCAAAAAATTAGTTTTGGGGTCAATTTATCAGAGGTGTACCAGTTTGAGGTTTTTCATGATATTTACTCTTAAATTAAGCTCTTTCAAAGTCAAAATAGGCTTCAACGTGTAATTGCTTAGACGGTCAGTTATATATCTATTAATGCTTCTAATGTTCAAATCGATATGAATCATTTGTTTAACTTTGGTCTAATTGAATTGAAGAAAGTGTACACGCTCAGCATTTTCAATTCAAATCCCACATAAATACTCTATTAATTTCATATTCTGTTTCAATTACACATATCTAAGACAAATCATCGAATACATTAAACCTGGATAAATGGACTTCGCGAAGAGTCCCACGATGGAGAAAGTACATTTCCCATCACAGTCTCTACTCCTTCAATTTTTTTTTAAATCATCTATTTGCTTTAAAAATTTTATAAAAAAAATTTAATAATCTAGTGTTAAGAAGTATGGTTAGTGCTGGACCACTCATTTAATAGGAACAAAAGGTACATCTCCATGATCAGCTCTTACTAAAGCTCTATTTGTAAATACAGAAAATATGACGTTTCTGGAAAATATTTTTCAAAAAGTTATTTTTCAAGAAAATTATAATATTTTCCGGTGCTCAACTAAGACCTAAAAATTAACTAGAAAATATTTTTCACTGTTCGGTATCCGATTTGATTTTCTATGGAAAATTACCAAAAAAATACAAATTTTAAATTATTTTTAAATTATTTTTTTTTCTCTTTTTTCCCTTTCTTTTTCCATGATTAGTTTATTTTCCATGAAACAAACTCCGAAAAATATGAAAAATGTTTTTTTGAAAATTGTTTTCCGTGAAATGAACGGAGACTAAGTATTAGAAATTATTTTTAACCCGTACTCATAAAATCCTACCACCAATCACCACATATTTTTGTGGTTGTTCTATCGCGTAGATACGTGACATTAAGCCCGTCATTCAAAAAAAAAAAAAAAAAAATAGACACTTCTCCGTTTTGTCTTTCGCTCCGTGTTTTTTTTTTTTTTTTACGGTTAGGTGGTGCTCGGATGTTTTTGCGCACCTCGACTAGTGCACCTCCCAACGGATTTTAAGAGCCCACTTCCCCATGTTGACCTGAATACATTCTGAATTTTACATATGAAATTCTTAACGAAATTTGAATTCAAAATCACAAGGAAATGAGCAAACTCCGTTCTCATCTGAGCCAAAACCTCGGTGGCCTCTCTCTCTCTCGAATTGAACTCGTGCATACAGTATTCTAAAACTCCTTCGAGTGCAGCTTGTCGGCCTCGTATGGAGTGGTGCTACGATAACGGCACCGTTGTTCCCCGTGACTAGAGGTGCCTTTTTGATCACGAGCTGCAATTACAATGGAATAGGCAACCGGAACCTACACAGTTTGGAGACACGAAGCAAACTTTGAATAGAATCTCGATAGAAAATGTCCAGATTTTGGACCATATTTATTTCTTCCAAAAAGAAATCACTTGAATAATTACTGCATCTGAACTTTTTTTATACACTCTGAATAATCACTTGAATGTAGGACTTGATTCTTTTTATAGTGTACTCTTGAAGCATTTCCACCTATTATAGATGCAACGAAAGTCAAATTAGTAACCGCACATGTAATTTTACCTAATTTAATTGGATTGTAGAGAGTTGCCCAGCAAGCGAAAATTTGTACATTACAATGTGTCTCCTACATATTAAGTTATCAGTTTTCTCGTAATTTTATCGGTCTCTTTTGACTTTGATTGAACAATGATAAGCATTACTTGCCTGGAATGTAGTGGTCATCTACCTATATATCTATGAATTTTTACTTTGTCCACGAAAATTAATTAAGATACTAACACATATCCGAGGTTTTATTTTGACAATTGCGTTCGCTTTGTTAAATGATGGATATATTTCTTGCACCATTTCAGATTTGAAAAATATTTTACATTGGGAATGTTGCTAATAAGAATCCTACATTCATTTTGTCTTGCAATAAAGAAACAGAAACCTTCTTTTTTAGATTGAATGTAAAAATATTTTATACGGATGATGTTTCCAATGAGTGCGATTTCTATTAATTTATTTTTATTTTGGTCGATTTATTATTTTTTCTAATTAAAAAACTCCCACTTGGTGGACCCGGGATTAAAGATAGCGACACGGTCTTTAAAAATTACAAGATGTATCATTTTTTTAATAATGGACATTATCCTTTGTCTACACCGATTTTTAAATCTTTGTTAATCGTTCGAAAGCCCTTCATATTAATCAAATTCTCGTTCTTCTTGCAGCGAACTCGACCTTGAAGCTGGTTCACAAGCACGGTCCATGCTCTCCCCTTTTCAACGGCGAACCGGTGAACCACACCCAATTTATGCTCGAAGACATTGCGAGAGCAAAGTGGATTCGATCCAAATTATCCGGCACTAACGCCGCGGACAACCTGAAAGACTCGGCCGTCAGCATCCCGGCCAAGTACGGTCCTGGCGGAGGGAGCTACCTGGTGACAATAGGACTCGGCACGCCGAAGAAGGACCTGACCCTCTTGTTCGACACCGGAAGTGCACTCACGTGGACCCAGTGCGAGCCCTGCATCGTGTCTTGCTATACCCAAACCGAGCCAATCTTTGACCCCTCTCAGTCCTCGTCCTATGCCAATATCTCTTGCTCTTCTCCATCTTGCTCGCAGCTTCCTTCTGGGACTGGTAATTAACTAAACCTCAATTTTAATTCCGGGGTATTCCAATTAAATCTCTATATGTTGAACTAAATAATATTCAAGCACTGAGTTTAGTCTCGACGTTATTTCATAAAGCAATTTTATAGATCAATAAAACGGAGGGTAAATCCTACTAAAATGGACAAAAGACTAGTTAGGCGGTTTTCTTCATCTCGATTGTAATTTCATGTTGCTCCATGGTATGCAGCTCAACGATCTCGCTGCAGCGATTCGACATGCGTTTACGAATCGCGGTATGGTGACCAAGAGTCCTTCACCATCGGCTTCTTTGCAACAGAAACATTGACATTATCACCAACGGATGCAATCTCCGGTTTTGAATTCGGGTGCGGTCAGAACAATGGAGGGCGATTCACGGGATTTGCCGGGTTGTTGGGGCTCGCCCGAGACCGGATTTCACTCTTAGAACAAAGCGAGACCCAATACGGCCGATCATTCTCGTATTGCCTCCCCCCTTCGATAAGCTCCACGGGGCACTTAACCTTCGGCAAGGGCAGCGGGACATCCACCTCGGTCCGCTTCACGCCAATATCAACGGTCTCGCAGAGTTCAATCTTCTACGGTATCGACATAACAGAAATCAGTGTCGGAGGCAAACCGCTCCCTATACCGTCGACCGTGTTCTCAAATGCTGGCACGATCATTGACTCGGGAACCACAATCACACAATTGCCCCCGACCGCATACAGCGCCCTTCGCTCGGCCTTTCGGCAGGCGATGTCAAAGTACAAGATGTCAGCTCCGGCTTCTCACTTCGACACTTGCTACGACTTGAGCGGGTCCACCATGGTCACTGTCCCGGTGATCACATTCTCCTTCAACGGACCGATTGCCGTCGACTTGGACCCCAGCGGTGTGTTGTTTCCCGTGAATCCATCAAAGGTGTGCCTGGCGTTTGCATCGAGCCCCGCCGACTCGGATCTCAGCATCTACGGGAACATACAGCAGAGGTCATTTGAGGTGGTGTATGATGTGGCTGGAGGGCGGATTGGTTTCGGCGCAAAAGGTTGTTCCTAAGCATTGTCCTGGAGCTTCCATGACAAAAGGGCGCAAAGCGATTTGCTTGTTTAGTGTACTTAAATAAATTGCCAGACACTTGAATCAAGGCAAGCAATGTGTATCATTGGGTACTATAAAAACTACGTTTGAACGTTAACGAATTGCTATCTACAGAAGAAGGGGTGGAGATTGATAGATGCATATCCCAGCGAGAATGGGAAGATTATCAAAAAAGTCATAAACCTATTGTACTTTTGCCAATTTAGTCATAAACCTTTTAATTGTGCCTACTGAGTTCTAAACATTTTCATGTTTTGTCAATTGAGTCAATCTGGCCAATTGGTCGGAAATTATTGACGTGGATGTCAGCCATGGCACAGCCGATGCTAACGTTGACATTTTTTAAATAATTTTTTAATAAGTTTTTAAAAAATTTTATAGTTTTTTTCATCTTTTTTTTCCTTCTCTTTACCTTTTTTTTGGGGGTTTGGATTGAGGGTTGGTGATCTGGCCTGGGCGAAGGCTTGGCGACCCTCACTTGCCCTAGTCAAGGGCATCGCGGTCCCCGATGGGTCTAGGCGAGGGCTGCAATGCCCTTGCCCAGAGCCGGCGAGGGTCGTCGGCCGTCACTCAAAAAAAAAAAAGTAAATTAAAGGAAAGGAAAAAAAACCAAAAAATATATAAATCAAAATATCATTAAAATATTATTAAAATGTCCATGTTAGCATCAGTCGTGCCATGTAGGATAGCCAGTGTCCATGTCAGTAATTTCAGATTAAAATTGTCCGGATGGACTCAATTGGTAAAACGTGAAAATATTTAGGACTTGATTGGCAAAATGAAAAGTTTAGCACCGAATTGGCAAAAGTGTAATAGTTTTAGGATTTTTTTGGTAATTTTCCCTAATGAAAATTGCAATTTGTTAACTAAAGAAGGGACAAAGATTTGCTGACAACAGTGATGAAGATCAGTTTTCTAGATTAAATGACATGACGTTGTCCGCTCAAAAATCATCTCTGTCGAATCGTGGATAAGTGATGAATAAACATCACAATTCACAAAACACGACTTGGTGTAGCATGTGGAAATTTTGCAAATCGGGAGTCGCCAACTATAGGCGCCCCAGTTCTTTAGGATCTTCGCAAATTCAAGGTTCGAGTAATCTATAATATGCAATAGGGATATATTCACTAGAAGTCCTAAAACTTATCACGAAAGTGTAATTGAGTCCTAAAACTTGCAAAAAGTGCAATCAAGTCCTAAAACTTGTTAAGTTAGTTCGATCGAGTTCTAAAGTTAACACCGTCAAACTAGGCTAATGGAAAATGCTGACGTGTCTTATTTTATTATTTTTTTTAGACACGTGGCAATGATGTGGCATCAAACAAGCGCCACATCAGAAAAAAAATTAAAAACTATAAATTAAATTAGATAAAAAAATCAAAGTTTAAAAAAAAAAAGGTGAAGAAGCATAGCCGGCGGCTGTGGCCAAGCCCTCGCTGTCACTGGTGGCAGCCGCCATAGCCACCGGGAAGGGCCGGCGGAGGTCACCTGGGCCTTCCTAAAGCCCGGCAACCCTTGAGAAGGCCCAGGCAACCTCCGCCGGCTCCAGCTAGGGCCTACAAGCCTCGACCTGGAAGAGGGTGCGACCCTCGCCCCAGATCAGAGCGAGGGTCACAGGCCCTCATCTGGGGTGGGCGACGCTGGGCGAGGCCTCGCTGGCCCTCGTCGGCCTCTAGCGAGGGTCGGCGACCCTCACTCAGTTTTGGGGCGAGGGTCGCGTCCTCCCCCAAATCGAGGCTTGCAAGCCGTCGCTGGGCTTCGGGAAGGCCTAGGCGACCTCCGTTGGCCCTTCCCGGCGGCTGTGGTGGCGACCATTGGCTACAGCGAGGGCTTGGCCACAGCCACCGTGGGTCTTCTCCTTCTTTTTCTTTTTATTTATTTATTATTATTTAGTTTATTTTTTAAACTTAATTTAAATAAAATGTGAAAATTAAAATAAGCCACATCAGCGCCGCGTTAGCGTTTTCCATTAGTAAGTTTAACGGTGTTAACTTTATGATTCAATTTGACAAGTTTTAGGATTTCATTGCACTTTTTGCAAGTTTTAGAACTCAATTGCACTTTCGTGATAAGTTTTAGGACTTCTAGTGAACATATCCCTATGCAATATGATCTCGAACTTAAGATCACACTAGAGTTGCCAATGAACAAATTAGAAAAACCTAGGTTGATTGGACACCCAAAGCCTAAGGTAGCGTCTGGGGAGGTTAAACTACCTAAGTGCACTTGTGCAATGAAACCTAAATATCTTAGGTCCCGGCGTGGGATGAATTAGCAACCCAAGACGCCGTTTCAGTACCGCAGCCCCACTTTTTCTTTACTACAAAATCACTCGTAAAACTATATGCTAAATGTGCAGGATGCTTTTGTTTTAAAAATTAAAATGTCGCCAAAACACTTATTCCATGCGGTTATTGAGAAACGACACTGTTTCACGTGTTACAACGTGACTACATTCGTTTGTGCAAGTGAATTCTCAACATTTCGATTTATCCTATCGAGTCTTTCTATTTTTCAGGTGGAGGCCGTCGAGTCTTTTTCTCGAGCTCTTGAAATTGATGGCTATAGAGATCTCAAGCAAGAAGTTTGGATTGGTTTCATTGAATCGACATTACAAGAAAGTATTGGAGAAAAGGAAAATGCAAGTGAAAGTAAAAAAAAAATGACTGGATGGTAAAAAGGATAGATTAATATGTAATACAGAAACCTTCGCTATGAGGTATTTAATGCCTATTTATAGGTTATTACAAACGAAACTTCTTATCTGACACGACTTCAAATAATGCTAAATAGATACACATTTAAAAGAAAGCAAAAATTGATAATTCCTTTTTTTCAAAAGGTGTCGGACCATCCTAGAGGTGAACTACTAGATGAAATCTAAATGATTACTAAGCAAACACTTAGTGCGGACTCTCCCAAGCCCATACTAATATCAATTTCGAGATTTTAATAAAATCATCTAAGCATGTAAATCAATTCAATTTGGAGACGCCACTAATCTATTACGGGTTGATTCGAAACCCAAGTGGAATATGGAAGAACATTTAACCCTGCGAATTAGAGATTTCATGAGTACGGGAATTTGATTACGCTAAATAATTTAATGTCCTTTTAGTACATTTTCTCTTTCTTTCAAAAATGTTATCCCATCAGGCTTGGCCAAGTTTATTCCAAAACCACAAACATGTAAGGGGTAATCATGCGAGTGCGCAGAAAAGAATGTAACACTCAATAAATCAAAGCAGTGAATAAATTGCTTAGAGAGATAGAAAAAATCTTGATGCGCTAAGCGAAGCTTTATTACAATCTCACACATCAAGTGTTCTGCAAACATTAACTAAAGACAAAAAAAATGATGTGATATATGAATGACCAAGGCTAATACAATTAATTTTTTTGGGTTTTTCTTTGATATAAGCATGAATTAATTAGATGCTATATCTATATGAGTTCTAAATTAACATGAATTGATGAACTAACATGAAATCTAAATAACGCGTATGCTATATTAATTAAATTTAATGCAACCTATAGGCAACTCTAATGACATGAAATATTATTAACTATATGCAACTCTAATGACAAGAAATATGATTAATAATGAACTAATCCTATTATTTAAACTACGTGAGAGATTTTGTATTTTCTTTTCTTACAAAAATAAAGACTAAATTTTAGGACACCGAATGACTTTTATTAAAAGATGACCTAACAATGCGATGCTAATTATGTTTTGGTATTTATTTTTATGAATTCAAATAGGAAACTGCCTAAATGACTTTAACCAATTAGGAAATTATGTATATTAAATCCTAGTTATGCACTATATTGAAGTTTGTGCTTTTCCTAAGTTACTACATGATTCCTAATCCATTTATGATAGGAATTTCTAAATTATGAAATATGCATAAACATAGTCTAAACTAAACACAATGCAATCTTTTTTATATTTATTTTATAAGATACATGTGCCTCTAATGACATATAAAATCTAACGCCCTACATCATTGATTATATTAAATATCGCCACACCCAAATAAGGAAACAAATTTTAAATGAGGGTCTAATCTTTAATCCCAAATGCTGCATTTGGTCGTCTGAATAAAAGTCAGGATATCATGTGTTTGGTAGCTATCCAAGACATGATAAAGTTGAATATAGAGGAGATATAGCCCAGCTAAAAAAATCCTAAGAAGGTGGATGGAACCGGATACGATTTCTCTTATACATAATATAAAAGCTATTTTTCAAAAATCCCTACGCTCTCCTTCTCCTTTGTTTTCACATTGAAGCTTCACGTGACTCTGCGACTCCTCTATAACTCGTTCACATCTAAATTCCACGAAAATAGTTCACGAAGCCGGTGAAAGTCGAAACGTCTTCTTCTCCGTAGATTTCCGATTCACATCGAAGCTTTACGAAAGCGGCAAGAGAGTTGAAGTATCATAAACACATGCAAATCAGCATCCTAGGACCCCAACACATGCAAATCAGCATCCTAGGACCACGTGAAGTGAAAAGGAGATGGGAAAACAAGGAAAATGAGAGAGATGACACTGACCACACATGACGGTCGATGTCGGGTTGACTTTCAGAGACTATTATTCCTCCCAAGAATGTACGCACGATAATGAAAATAGCATGATAAGAAGGATTTGCACTTAACATATCGGAACTGTAATGATCATATGTGTATGTGGAGATAAATAAAACGTGACCACGTTTCTATATGGTGTCCATTGCGCAAAAGTTGGTATTCTCGTCCAACCACAAGAGTCAAGAATCATATGGGATGAAAAAGGAACAAACTGGAGTACTTCATGACCACGAGATAAAATGTGTAACAAAAAAGTTGACTATGTCGACTAAAATGTCCGAAAATCCCTTTAAAAAATTAATCAATTTTATGTACATAGAGTAGATAACGAGCTAATGTCGATAAACCATCATATAGGGTTTTACCCTATCGATGTTTAAATATATTTAACACGTCATAGATATTTTGCGTCAAATAAAGTCGAATTGAGAGAGCCGCGAGCTTGGCCAATAAAAACCGATCGAAAGCAGAACTCGCCCTAAACGGATTCGTTATGCTGTTGCTTATAGAAGGATCAATTAGAGGAGCAGCAGCTAATCAATCTCGTAGACGAAAACGAAACATAAGACAAATTTGAGCACAAGAGAAGCGTC